AACAACTGCTGTAATCTCTCTTCTTGATTCTTTTCTCGTTCTTCTTGTTTCTTTTGCTGTTCTTGTATTGCTGTCATCAAATCTGCTAAGCTGTAGTTTGGTTTGCCACCTCTCGTAGTCATGTGACTCGATGACGCAACAATACTTTCTGTTTTCTAAAGGCCAAGTGGGTAGGGTGCTCGACTCGCAATCTGAGAATCGCGGGTTCGAATCCCCGTCCCACCAAACATATTATGTCGGTCAATCCCACTATTCATTGGTGAAAGAGGAGCCCAACAGCTGGCGGTGGGTGTTGATGATTAGCTGTTACACTAGTCTTACACTGCTAAATTAGGGACGGTTAGCGCAGATAGCCTTCGTGTAGCTTTTCGCGAAGTTAAAAAAACAAACAAACAATTCTTTATTATTCACCCTTTATCTAAGATGATATCGTCGGTCACATACATTAGTTTTCTTTTGCATGACGTCAGAGGTCTCAGCTTACAAGCCTTTACTTCACCACAAGTTTCTCATTTATTCGCTTATTATTGTTCTTTCAGTCAAACTGTTGGCGGTTCTTCAGATGTGTGGAGACTCAGTTTCACAGTGTGCAATGCCATTCTATTGACATCAGTATTATATTTAATTCAACATTTGTTAGTCGTCTAGCGCTGATAGGCCTCGTGTAGCTTTGCGCGAAATTCATAACAAACCAAACTATGTCAGCTCAAACTGAAAAGAATGTTTAGTTTACACATTTTTATTATTAACTTTTAAGCTTTAATGAAGTTAATAGTTAAAATGGTTTCATTATGTACTTACTCGTATATAGCTTATAAATATTAGTGTTCAGGCTGTCGCAGGTTGAATGATTGAAACAGCATAAAATGTAGATGAAGTACCTATATATTGTTCTATGATGAATGAAGTACCTATATATAGTTCTATAATGAATGAACTACCTATATACAGTTCTATGATGAACGAACTACCTATATATAGTGTTGCGTAAGCGAGGACACGTGACTAGTATCACGCCATCTATTTCTAGAAATATCCTGTTCCTTCAAGAATGCCCTAGCATTTACTAGATATGTGTTAGTCTTGTATATATAAGACGTTCACAACGTGACGGAACAACAGGGTAATGAGTAATTGAACTGCAGTCAGAGAATGTGTAATTGAACTGAGTATTGTCGAGCATGAGCACGTGAGACGTACCTTGAGAATTATAGCGTTGTTATAGAGCGACTGTTGAAATTAAGTGTATCGGTAAAGTTGTATTCAGAAAGAATAAACCAGTTTTATTTAAGAAAGGAATTGTGTCGCTAAAGTTTCGTCGGAATTAATTTACGGAAAATTAACTAACGAACCGAGACGTAAAAATAGTTTTATAATGAATGAACTACCTATATATATATAGCTTTATAATGAATGAAGTAACTATATATAGTTTTATAATGAATGAAGTACCTATATATAGTTCTATAATGAATGAATTACCTATATATAGTTCGATAATGAATAAGTACCTACATATATAATTTGATAATGAATGAAGTACCCACATGTAGTTTTATAATAAATGAAGTACCTATATATAATTTGATAATGAATGAAGTAGCTATATATAGTTTTATAATAAATGAAGTACCTATATATAGTTAGATAATGAATGAAGTAGCTATATATAGTTTTATAATGAACGAAGTACCTATATATAGTTAGATAATGAATGAAGTAGCTATATATATAATTTTATAATGAATGAAGTACCTATATATAATTAGATAATGAATGAAGTACCTATATATAGTTTTATAATGAATGAAGTATCTATATATATAGTTTTATAATGAACGAAGTACCTATGTATAGTTTTAATGAATAAAATACCTATATGTTGTTCTATACAAAGTTACCGATTCACTAATAACTTTATCGATTCACCTCACCAAAAATTCTCACTCTTTCAGTCATGGTGGTGTTATAAAGTCACGGACAATCCCATGTTTCGTTGTTAAGAAGTAGCTCAAGAGTTGCTGGTAAATGATCTTAACAAGCCCAGCGTTTCTCAACCTTTTTGCTACAAGAGACCGGTTTGCTGCCAACTCGAAGTGTGTCACATAATCAAAACCAACCAACTTCACTCTAAAACTTATATTTCATTTATCTTGAAATTACTGTGACATTTCAGTCTTAATATCTGAGAAATCACGCCATGCATAAAAATATATCGACATATGGCCAACTGGAAAATGTACTGTTACGACAGCGGAAGTCACTTGAGGCTGCTGGCGATGGTAGCGCATGCGTGAATGAACTTCTCGAATTATCAGGGAACTTCTCGAATTTTGTCGAAGCTTCTTTGTTAATATATAAGCCTGACAGAGAAGCCAGCGAGATATAAATAATTAAAGGAGCGAACAGTAGTGACGGTTAGTAATGTGTGTGAATCACTGTGATTTATAGCGTGTATTATAAAAGTTGTTAAGTTTAAAGTGACGGGAAACGTATTAACTGTGGAATTACTGTATACTAAAAGTTTGTATCGAGGATGAATAAACTGATTTAATCAAAAAAGGACTTATATCCCTGAAGTTCCTCTGAAAGAATTTCTGCAGGAAATTATCAAACAAGCAGATATGTAACAAATTTGTGTCAGAGAGTGGGACGGAAAAAAAAAAAAAGATGGAAACTGTGACGCAACGTTTCTAGAACTATCATGTACTTTGGTGAATGTTCTAGTTCTTACTAGATATAGGGTAGGCTGGTATATAAAAGAGGGGAATGTAATGTCTGGGTAGATAGTGAGTAATTGAACTGCAGTTAGAGAGCACGAGAGACGTTACAGCGTTTGTTTAGCGCGATTGTTGAAGTTGAGTGTATTTATAAAGTTATATTCGGAAATAATAAACCAGTTTTGTTAAGAAAGAACTTGTGTCGCTTAAGTTTCGTCGGAACGAAGTTACGGAAAGTTAATTAACAAACGGAGACGTAACAAAATGTTCTCGTTTTTGAAAGGAAATATTTGGTAAAAGTCATGATGTATGGTGTTTCGAAACGAATTTTTGTTGTTGACGTTTACAACGACGTCGAAACAAGCCCAAAGGATTCGAACCAAACCAAAAAAACACGTCTAACCCAAAATGGGACTTTTCACATTAAAACTTCCAACGTTGAAGATTTTAAAGAGAATTTTTCACCAAATGAAAAGGAGAACTTTGGCCCTTTGCCAAACCTTTTGAAATCCACAGATAACGCTGAGTTCGTCACCGTCCTTAAAGTTGAAGACCGACTCCCCCCTGTACCAGAAGGGGAGGAAGAAGAGGATGAAGATCACAAACAAGAAGTGGTCCCCTCAAAAGGAGGTTTTGTAACGGTGTTAGAAGTAAATAACTACAACAATGCCGAAAAGAGTTCTGCTGAAGATAAAATGATAGAAGAGGTTATTATTTATCGTTTGCCTGGGGAGAGACTGGGAATGGCTCTCAAGTTCGAGGGGGGTGTTAACGTTACTGATAGCGTTTCAAGAGTCTTCATTCAGTCGATAAATCCGGATAGCCCAGCTGCACGAGCGCAGTGTTTTCTCAGACCTTTACAGGAAGGAGATGAAATTTTAAAAATTGACAACCGTAGTGTATGTGAAATGACGCGTTTGGATTGCGTTACGTTGTTAAGGGACGCTCCTGTGTGTATCAAAATGTTGGTCAAACATCAAACCCCAAATTCTACCATCCAGAACGGAGAAAATATCATGAATGGTCAAAACCGATTATTGGATAAAATTAAAGAAGCGATACAAACCGAAGATAAACCACCATTACCGCGAAAAAAGAAGGGTCCACCCCCTCCTGTACCTCCACGGAAATCTCCTTCCTCGTCAAACAGCGTCATCTTTGTACAGCAGGAAGAACTAGGATTAAGTGTTAGTGAAAGGATTGCTTCTATTGAAAAAAGCCGTTTACTTCCTGAGCGGCCCCGTAAAAGACCGTCCCAACCTCCACCACTTCCTCCTCGCCTACCAAAACCACCCCACACTCCCCAGGAGACGGACCTCCTGCCAGAGAAACCTCCCTTTAGAGGTGGAGCACTTAGCATGAAGCTTCCCGGGTGGGAAGAACTTATGCAACGACGCCTCGCCCGTCTAGAAGATCCCGAACACCAGGAGGAGGAGGACGAGCGACCATCGGAAGCAAATGTTTATACCGACCTTTTTTCCGGAGAGGACATACAGATCAGAGAGTCAGAGTCTGATGACACTGGGAGTTCAGTGTCAACAGTAATCGAACGATTTTCTAGAACTAGTACTGCCAATTCGAGCTTTTCGGAACACTCCAGCAGCCAAGAAAAGCCGTCCAAACCATTCGATTTGGAGCAGGTTCTTAGTCCTTTTGAACAGCTGGAGCGGGAGTTGGATGATGACGAAGGAGATTTTCAGCCACTTGATGTTTCTGATGACCCTGAAATTTTAGACAGTTCTGAAATAGTACAGTCGGATGAGTTTACCATTGAACCACCCGAATCCTTTCAAGACTTTTTTCTCTCAGACAGAGCGGATGAGGACGACTTATTTCCAACTAAACCTGTACTCGATAACAAGAACAGTGAACCATCCTGCTTAGACTACTCGTGTGAGCCACATATTTATAACATGGTGAATTCCTCATCAGTGTTACCACTAGATGAACACGATATGGTACCAGCTGAACACCGAAATGGTCACAGCAATGAGAGTTATTCTTATTTCAATGAAGATGAAAACAGGAATAACGTGCTACATAAGACGATTGAAATCATGGAAAGTCAAGCACATGAACCAAACGTCAACGAAAAGAATCTTAAAACCCATTATGTTAATTCAAGTCCTCCAACTGGAGAGGAAGATATCTCTGTAGAAAGTGTAGAAGAAATAAACGCTAACTTCTCTGCTATTAAAGAAAATTCAAATAAAATAGAGATATATGAAGAAATGAACATTCCACCACGTCCTCCTAGAAAAATAAAAACGTCTTTGAATATTGAGAGTGAATTTAACGAGATGGAGAAAGGAAATTCTGTTGATAATCATTGCGAGGCAGTTCGAAAGTCACACCCTTTCGATTTTCAAGAAACGAATAA